GAAGTCATTATTTTTGGACCTAAAGAGGAACAATCTAGAGCTATAGCTCTAGATCTGTAGATCTAGAGCTATAGATCTAGAGTTATAGATCTATAGCTATAGATCTAGAGTTATAGATCTATAGCTATAGATCTAGAGCTATAGATCTAGAGTTATAGCTCTATAGCTATAGATCTAGATCTGTGGATCTAGAGCTCTAGATCTATAGCTATAGATCTAGAGCTATAGATCTAGAGTTATAGTTCTAGAGCTATAACTCTAGCTCTAGAGCTATAACTCTAGCTCTAGAGCTATAGATCTAGAGTCATAGATCTAGAGCTATAGATCTAGAGTTATAGATCTAGAGCTATAGATCTAGAGTCAATGCACAGCTTCAGTTATTACAACTAAAAACTAGAGATCCTGGGAGTAGTGATGACCTCTGACCTGAACCTTGCGAGCCACATAAAGACAGTTACAAAATCAGCCTTCTATCACCTGAAGAACATCTCCAGGATTAGAGGACTAATGTCTCAGCCAGATCTAGAGAAACTCATCCATGCGTTTATCTTTAGTCACATTGATTATTGTAACAGCATCTTCACAGGCCTGTCCAACAAATCAATCCTCCAGCTGCAGCTGATCCAGAAGCTGCTGCTCCTGTTCTCACTAGAACCAGGAAGATAGAGACATAACAGCGGTTTTAAAGTCCCTCCACTGGCTCCCTGTAGCTCAAAGAATAGATTTTAAAATACTGTTGTTAGTTTATAAATCACTGAACAGTTTAGCACCACAATACATCAAAGATCTGCTGTTGTTGTATCAACCTTCCAGACTCTCAGGTTCTGGTTCTGGTTCTGCTCTGCATCCCCAGAACCAGAACCAAGAGAGGAGAAGCAGCTTTCAGCATCTATGCACCAAAAATCTGGAACAAACTTCCAGACAACTGTAAAACAGGGGAAACACTGACTTCCTTTAAATCTCAAGTAAAAACCAGCTGATTAGAGTTTTATTTGAAATGTAATATGGAACAATGTATTGTCTATTATATGCTGCATGACTTTGTGTTTATGACTTTGAAATGCCTTGCTGCTGGAACGTGCTATACAAATAAAATTAATTTGATTGATTGATTGATTACATTTCTGATGTTTGTCAGAAACTGACTCCTCTGTTGTCTGTGTAGTTTGATTCGCCTCAGATTTAGAAAATCTTTTCTTTTTCTGACTTTCTTCTTTAGTATCAAATCCTCTTCCACCTCCAAACTGAATTTGAACTCAATTTATGATCCAGTTGTTATGAAATGATAAGTGATGTCATGGTGGAATATTTTTGTGTTGTAGGTCCTGACGTGGAGGAAGAGGAGGAGGTCACCGTGGGGTCATCTGATCCGCCTCCTGCTGCGAGTCCTTCATCAACATTCACTGCTGCTCCTGCTGCCATGACTCCCAGAGCTCCCAGTACCCCCAGTATGACCCCCACGGCTCGCAGCGCTGCAGACTCGCCTCCTCCAGGAACCGTGCAGCAGGAAGTCTTCTTCCCTGCCACATCCAGAGCGCCGCGGGAGGAAGAGGAGGCTGAGAAGAGGGAGGAGAGAGTCATCAGGAAGCAGGAGATCTGGCAGAAAACGTTTCCTCGGTCCAACGTCTCGGCTGGTTCCGGTTCTGTGAGCACGGCGCCGGTCCTGCTGGCCGGCCTGGCCGGACTCCTGACTCTGTGGCTGTGAGCAGAACCAGGAGAACCGCCGCTGACCCTTAATAATTCACAAGCTGCTGTTTTAACTGAGTCTGGACTGGAAACTGATTCAGCCTGAACGGAACCAGAACCAGAACCAGAACCAGAACCAGACCTGGGGCAAAACGAGCTGATCTGACGGGAACAAACACAAACAGGAGATCGGAAACTGGAAAAATAAGAGTTTCCCACTGGAAGCAGGTTTACCTGCCGAAGCTGGTCAATTAGAAAAGATGTCTCACTCTTGTGAAAATCTCACATTTAAAACGAATCTGCGGACTTCCGTTGTAAAGTTACACAGTCAGAAATAACAGCAATAATTTGGGCTACTTGTCATAAAAATTGGATTCATATTTCAGTCATTATTTCATTAGCAGCTGCTACAGTTAGCAAGCTAATGATTTAGCTAACAAGCTAGATATCTAGACTAAAACTACATATTTAGCTTCAAACTATTTAGCAAACTAAATATTAAGCGAGCAAGCCAAATATTTTATTAGCAAGCTAAATAGTTAGACTTAAAATGAATATTTAGCTTCAAATTTCACATTGCGTTTGAAGCTAAATTTGATTTTTAACTCATTCTTTTTATTCAAACTAAATATTTACCTCAGAGCTAAATTAGCAAATATGGATATTAAATTTCTGCATTCCATTTATCGATGTGTGAATTTGCAGTTTAGCCAAATATTTAGCTAAAACTGTGACATAAATAAATGAATGGAACGAAAAAAATATGACTTTGGAAAATTAAAGCCCCATTTTATTCTTTTACGCTAAATAATTCAAATTATTGCTGTTTATTTTAACTTTGCAAAAGGCGTCCGATGAATCCAGTTAAACTCCCAGAGGTTACATTGTGACATTAAAGTGACGTTCATCGGATTGCTGAGGCGTGGTCAGTATCTTACCTCAGGTACCCTGAGATCAGGTTTCCCACCCTGGCAGTCCAGGTCCGGCGCTAAGCTAACGAGTCCTTCCCTCTAATCCCCAATCTTAATCATTAAATGATCCCAGAACAATCACCGGAAAACAACATTAGCGTCTTCACACAAAGTCCAAGATTGTCAGATTTTGTTTTGTTGCATAGTTTTCTGTTTCCTTGGTGACTGTGGGAATAAAGTTTTAATAATTTTGTTGATTTGTGACATTTCTCCATGAACTGTCGGAAGCAGATGTCACAAAGGACCGGCCCTGTCTCCACTGTAACGAGGGTTTTTTAATGTTCTCTCCAGAACCAGTATGGTCAGAACGGATCGAGTTGGAGACGTTTTCACTGGAAGTCCAAGGAAAATGCAAGAGAAAATGTTTAAAGTGACGACTCTGCTTTTGCTTCTCTTCTCTGACCGAAACTGGATCACTTACTGACCTGTACACCCGCAGCGGCTAACTGACAGCTAACTGTCAGCTACCTGTCGGCTAATCATCAGCTACATGTTGGCTAACTGCTGGCTAACTGTTGAATAACTGTTGGTTAACCATTGGCTAACTGCTGGCTAACTGACAGCTAACTGTTGGCTAACCATCGGCTACCTGTTCGCTAATTGTCGGCTACCTGTCAGCTAACCATTGGCTAACCATCGGCTACATGTCGGCTAACCGTTGGCTAACCAGCAACTTCATGTAAATGTCTGTAAAAAAAAAAAAAAAAGGATTAAACTTCTTCACCACAACGCAGGGTTGCAAAGTGTTTGTTGAACAGAAAACTCAGACTAACACTCAAAGCTCAGGGTGAATGAAACCGGACCAGAACCAGAACCACAGCAAGCTGCCCGACTCCGATCCAGAACCAGAACCATATCTGCATGGCTCCCAGCATTGCATGTCAGGTTCTTCATGGCAATCATTCAGCTGCTAAATGCCTGTGTGGAGCTAGCCCCGCCTACAAGGCTCTTCAGACTAGCCAGCATCAATTAGCAAACAGCTGGAATTGCTGAGCTCATGGTAGCAGCAGCTGCTCAGAGCAACGCTGGTAAAACGTTAAAGGGTGAATAGAGGAGCATGTTGGGATAACTTTCTGGAGGCGGAGCTTCAGAAAGAGCAGGAGCTTCTTAAAGAGACAGCGACACAAGTAGTTAAATCAGGAAGTCAAATTCTTTTATTATTTAATATATTTAGCATTTTTTATAAACAAATGAATTTAACATAGTTACTATATTGTGTTATAAAATAGAAAACAGAATATTCTCCTTTAAGGTTTTATTCCTGGTGGATTCAGCATCATTTGGTCACATGGTCACTAGATGGCGCTCTAACACCAAACAGGAGGAGTGATGAGTCGCTGCACTGAACACTTGTTTTTATGGAGGAGAGAATGAAAAGAGAAGGTTACAGAAATAAAGACAGAAGATCTGCATTGTTGGTTGGTTGGATGCCTGGATGGTTGGATGCCTGGATGGTTGGATGCCTGCTGGGTGGAGGTTAAAGGGTGAACGGGGGGAGGTTGTCTGCCTGCACAGCAAAAACAAAGTGATGACAGAGGAAGAAAGGACAGAAAAGGGCTGAATGGATTCAGCTGAGCTCTCAGCCAATCAGAGCGCCCGCCTCTGCTCCTTCAGCATCCTGGCTCTGTGATTGGCTGCTGGGAGCGGCTCTGCAGACACAGCAGGCTGAAGAAGAGGAGGACAGATGTTCTTCATCCCTCTATCTGGGTTTTATTAACGCCATGGACCTGCAGCCCACCCGCCGCTGCTCGCCCCGCGGCATCATGGGAGCTGGAGTCCCGGGGGGCCACAGCTGATCAGCTGAGGATGTGGGTCAGCAGAGTTGGAGATGTGAGGCGGTGGGCGAACGGCGTGGAAACACATCCATCCTTTTCTCTCTGCAGCTTCCTGTCCACCGCCGAGCAACGATGGGCTGCAGGCTGAGCCGCAAGGTGAGAGGAGGGATGATGGAGGGATGGATGATGGATGGAGGGATGGATGATGGAGGGATGGATGGATGGATGGAGGGATGGAGGGATGGATGGTGGATGATGGATGGTTGATGGGGGATGATGGATGGATGATGGATGGATGGATGATGGAGGGATGATGGATGGATGGATGGATGGATGGTTGATGGAGGGATGATGGGGATGGATGGATGGATGGATGATGGATGGATGATGGATGGATGATGGATGGATGGATGGATGGATGGATGGATGGATGATGGAGGGATGATGGAGGGATGATGGATGGATGGATGGATGGATGGTTGATGGAGGGATGATGGAGGGATGATGGATGGATGGATGATGGAGGGATGATGGAGGGATGACAGGCGAAGCAGAAGCTGAACATTTCTTCACGTCGTTCATTTCTTTTATCATTTTCTTTTGTGTTTTCTTCAAAAAATCAGAAACAAAATTTTCAGATTTCAGATTCTGAACATCCTGACCTGAAATTGTTTTGTTTTTTTTCCATTTCTGAGGCGGTTCTGTTCCAGCTTTGCAGGTTCTGTTGGACCTCAGAACCAAACAGATTTTATTGTGATTGTTGTTCAGAAAATAGAAAAGTGAAGCGTGACTTTCAAAACATGAGCAAAGAAATAATCTGAAAAGTGTGGCATGTTTTTATGTTGTTTATTTATTTTATGAAATAAATCTTTCATCCTGAGCAGATCCAGCACCCTGTTTGTTTAGAAAGTCCAGTCCAGTTGGTGAGGTGTGATTGAGGTGTGATCCCAGCCTGGAGGAAAAATGGCTCCTGGTCTTCAGCCAAAGACTAAAGAGAAATCACTAAACTCTGACGCCTCCATCTTGTTTCATCTGGTGAAACAGGAAGTTGCTCTCAGCGTCTTCAGAGGTTTAGTGTCGTTTCCTGCAGTGGTTGTTGGTGCAGCGCCCCCACAGGCCAGGAGGAGAACAGGCTGGTTTGACTCAGAACCACAGCAGATTGTGCAGTTCTTTTTAGTAGAACCGGGTCGACTGGACCATCAGGAAGGAACAGTGTGAATCTGAGTCAAAGTGCAGCTGGTTTGGTTCTGGTCTCAGAGTTTCTTCAGTTCCATCTGAAACACGGTGGTGGCAGCATTATGATGCAGGCCTAGTCAAAGTCCAGACCTAACTCTGGTCTGTGACGGGAAACTGGTTGCCTGATAACTGAAACAATCAACCATACTGGCTCTAAGAATGCAAATGCATGCCGCACTTTTCAGAACTTTCCCAGTGAAATATTCTGATGTTGGTTTTCCAGTGTTTAGTCATGATGCGTTCGCTGACCTCTGGAGGTTTTAATGCCGACTCATTGAACCTGAAGCTTCTGCACATCTGTTGCGCTGCGACTGAACGCATGAGAAGGGCGACCCGCCGCACCAATCAGCTCCCTGAAGGACAGAGTTTGGTACAAAGCGAAGGCTGAGTCACCCTCCGCTTCACAAACCTCACGGCTCAGCAGCCATTTTGCTGAGCCTGACGAGAATCCAGGCCCTGCTGGGTGAACCCCGTCGACCCGCTGAGCCCGGACGGCTTCGTGTCCCGGTGTGGGCCGGCGCTCCAACGGCGCCTCGGGTTCTGATCTCAACACAACTTAAATAGACGACTGGAAGCAGCAGATCCTGATCCGGAAACCAGAGGAAAAGTTTCCAGAGCAGCAGATGAACCAGAACTGAGCTTCTGGGTTTGGTTCTGTTTTCCTGTGTCTCTTTATGCTTTTTCAAAAGATCATTTTGCTAAGAAACTTCATAATTCATTTAATATATTTTTTGATATTAAAATGTCTTTCAGTTCCGGTTAAATGTGTTTTAGAACTTAAAGTTTATCATCCAGGAACATTTGTTATGGTGACTGGCCTAGTTAAAGCCCAAAGTCCTGTTCCTCTGACAGCAGCACTGAATGCTGGTTGGTTTCATCTTCAGTAAAATCAGAATGGTTCTGATGGTTCTGGTGGTTCTGATGGTTCTGATGGTTCTGATGGTTCTGGTGGTTCTGATGATTCTGGTGGTTCTGATGGTTCTGATGGTTCTGGTGGTTCTGATGGTTCTGGTGGTTCTGGTGATTCTGGTGGTTCTGATGGTTCTGGTGGTTCTGATGGTTCTGGTGGTTCTGGTGGTTTGATGGTTCTGGTGGTTCTGATGGTTCTGATGGTTCTGATGGTTCTGATGGTTCTGGTGGTTCTGATGGTTCTGGTGGTTCTGATGGTTCTGATGGTTCTGGTGGTTCTGATGGTTCTGATGGTTCTGATTCTGATGGTTCTGGTGGTTCTGGTGGTTCTGGTGGTTCTGGTGGTTCTGATGATTCTGGTGGTTCTGATGGTTCTGGTGGTTCTGATGGTTCTGATGGTTCTGATTCTGATGGTTCTGATGGTTCTGGTGGTTCTGATGGTTCTGGTGGTTCTGATGGTTCTGGTAGTTCTGATGGTTCTGATGGTTCTGATTCTGATGGTTCTGATGGTTCTGATGGTTCTGGTGGTTCTGATGATTCTGGTGGTTCTGATGGTTCTGATGGTTCTGATTCTGATGGTTCTGATGGTTCTGGTGGTTCTGATGGTTCCGGTGGTTCTGATGGTTCTGGTGGTTCTGGTGGTTCTGGTGGTTCTGATGGTTCTGATGGTTCTGATGGTTCTGATGGTTCTGGTGGTTCTGATGGTCTGATTCTGATGGTTCTGGTGGTTCTGGTGGTTCTGATGGTTCTGATGGTTCTGATTCTGATGGTTCTGATGGTTCTGATGGTTCTGATTCTGATGGTTCTGATGGTTCTGATGGTTCTGGTGGTTCTGGTGGTTCTGATGGTTCTGGTGGTTCTGATGGTTCTGATGGTTCTGATGGTTCTGGTGGTTCTGATGGTTCTGGTGGTTCTGATGGTTC